TCCTCCCGGCAGCGCCGTGCCGGGCCGGCCTTGGCCGCGTGGTGACTCCCGGCAGCGATCCCGCAGCCGAGCTCTTCGTCGTTGTCTTTGACACTCTTCCTACTTGGGGGCAGCGAGGTGGCGGTCAGGGGAGCGGGTCTGGCTGGGCCTCACCTTTCGAGGCCGGGTTTGGTGCTGACGAGAGGGATAGCGGAAGGAAATGGCTCACCCTGCAAGTCTTTCTGCATCTTACAGGCTCGGGTTTTGTTTAACAGGAGTAATTACAAATATTCAAAGAGATGCTCGTTATTGAGTTATTTTTAGGGTAGGATCCACCATGCTTCTGTCCCGTCACGGACTGCTGTTTGGTTTGTGGCCCAGTGTTGCTTTTTTAAAATGGGGTTCAGGTGCTTTTCTTCAGATAGTGAAGGGGGGAGGGAAGAGAAAACATATTAGCGGAAGGAAAGATAAATTTGCGAACTGTTGCTTAAAAGCAAGGAGAATATTTCATGTGTTGCCATGTCTGAAGATGCTTTATTCGAAGAGGACATTTGGGAGTACAAATCCATTAGGAAGCAAAAGCATCAGAGTAATTCAGAGAGCATCTCTACACCTGGGCAGAAAGTAAGTGATGGCAAGTGCAGGCCGAAAAGAAAGAGAAATAGTAATAAAAAAAAATCCGTAGAAAAAACTGATACGCTTCAGAAAACTGAGCAGAGATCAAGGCCAAATCAGGATGTAGATCAATGTAAAGATGACAGTAGTGTGCACTCCCAGGAACGCGTGAGTAGCCTGACCGAACAGAGCTCACAAAATACAAAGCCCATTCATGATGGATACTGTCCGAGCTGCCAGATGCCTTTCTCTTTGCTATTGGTCCAGACACCTCGATGGCACGTTGCTGAATGTTTGGATACTCCAGGATCCATTGGAAAAGGTATGAATAGAGTAAGAAAAAAGCCTTCAGATAAAAGTTAAAGGCTCCTCACATAATGTTGCTGTAAACCTTGGTTTTCATACTTAGTTCAAAATCTGAGATGGTAGTTGGTATGATTTTTAGAATGCTATTACTGATAATTTATCAGTATTATTTTCGTATGAGATTTTGGTTCTTTGTGAAGAACACAGAAATCTGACATGAAAGTCTCATACCAGAATCTAATCTCATGTAGAGTAGTGATAAAGATTCGTGGTTGTTTATCAAGCTCCAGTTCTAGTAGTTTATTGAAGAAATTGAAGGTGCATATTTACCATCTTAAAATAATGGAACCTGTTTCAATTACTAAGTCAGTGTCAGCAAAAAAACCTCCTTCAATTAAGAGGCTACTACTTTTGACACTGAATTTCTTTCTCCCTAGGTATAAATTTTATTATCCTGTATCTTGTTGCTGTGTGACTTGTCCAGTTGTCTATGGACAGTTGGAAGCTGAAATCAGTCTGTTAGGCTAATTTACTTGAAATGTTAGCCCCTGATCCAGTATGCTTTAGGAACTTCATATAGAATTATACATGAACATTCCTGTCTCATAAGACAACACAGTTTTGTTTTGAGTTCTGTACTAGAGGAATGAAACTGACTCATTCCAATTGCTAGTTTCATGCGGGGAAATACTATGTCTGAATAGATCCGGGTATCCAACTTATGTTCTTAATACACCTCATAACTTTTGAAAAACAGAAAGCATACAGTCAGGAAACTTGAGTAAAGGCTGTTTAGGTAACACAGTCACTTTTCTTTTTATATCTTTGTAACTTTCCTTAAAGTTTCTTCTTCAGAACAATGAAATGTGAGCCCTTTAATCCCGATTTTGGCAGTAGTTTTAACTTAAGGCAGATGTGTTAACACCTCATTTCCATCTCTTACTCCCATAATTAACAGATGAAAAATCCATCTGATTGATTTGTGCATTCATCTCAAAATCCTCAAAAGTTAGGCTAGCAATCGCTCAACAAAAAAAGGAACAGCCACAGCCATTTTGCTGGCATCTGAATCCTGAATACTTTTTTCACATAAGTAAATCCATGACTTTTTGGTTTTTTAAAATGTAATGTGTAACCCAGCAGACAATTTGAAATGGAATTTCAGGTTGATTCAGAACCGAGATTTGGTTTGTTTAGAAACATGTTTACTGGCCTTTTCTGGTGCTACTTCTCTGAGCTCATTGCTTGCATGTGAGACAGTTCTAAACTAGAAGCCATATGATTACATTAGCACAGTATCGAAACAGGGTTAAGTACTCTTGTTGTTAGAGAGCTGTATTAATTCAGGCATAGTGCTGTATTAGCAGCAGCTGTTTGATTTTGGTTGGAAGCATTCTCGTTTCTAGCCAGCTCAGGGCAGGAGGTCTTGGCAGCTTGAAAATTACTTTTTACTTGTGCTTTCTGTCCTCCAATAGCTGCATTTATAAGAAAAAGCTTTTAAATTGTGTCATGTGTGATTTTTATTTTGAAAATATATGCCAACCATATTTGCAAATATATTGACGTTGCTTCTGTTTAACTGTTTTCATAGAGTGTCCTGATGGTTTACTGTGCACTTCCACCATTCCATCCCACTACAAGCGCTATAGCCATTTTCTACTTGCAGCAAGTAGGGCAGGAGATTATCTTGTAAACTCTTCAGCAAACGCTTTGGAGGGGAAGGTGACATATTCTACTGCTGCAAAGCCCAGCTGTTCCCCAAGTCACATAGAGGAAACTTCACAGAACGAGAAACCATCTAATAATGTAAAAAATGTCCCAAATGATGACTGTACATTGACGGTACCGAGTTCACCGCAAATTAAGTCTCTAAATATAATCAGTGAAAGTACTTCCTCTTTTGCAGATGTTCAAAAGCTTCAACAGACATGTCAGCTTACACAGACCATAGATAACAGTTGTAAATTTGAATTTTATGACTTTGCATCCTCTCAAGAAAGTGGAACAGGAGAAGATCTGTGTAGTCAGAAAGATACAAGTCAGCCAAGTCTACTACAGTCAAAAGCTGACTTCAGTGACTGTGAAATTTCTTATTCTCCACTGAGTACTTTTGAGGAAAGTGAGGAGGAAACTGAGGAAGAGGAGAAGAAAGTGAAAATATCACAAAATAAATTATTCCAAGTCCAGAACTTTGAAGGTGAAGAATCTAATTCTGTGGTGTTTAACACATGTGATGGAGTTTTCTTACAGCAGAAGCCTCAGTATGAGCATACCAAAATGGGAAATTTCATAATTAAAAAAACCCACTCTGAGGAAGTAAATACATTGAACCATCTGGATCATAGCGTAAAAACTGTTTCTCAGAGTCATGTGAACAGCAAGTTCTGTAATTCAGCATGTGTAGATAATCAGCATCAGCAAGAGGCGCTAGCCAGCGGATCCTCTTTTCCTTTTAATTGCGAGGAGGTTGAACAGCCAGAATTGATTTCCTCTGCTGCTAAAGCAGGTAACACAGAGTCAGAAGATACTGGTGCTTGTGCTTGGGATTCTGCATACCTGAGTTTTACTGAGACATCATCACTGCTAGCTAGAGAAGGTGCTGGGTCTGTTCCGACACAGAAAAGTAACATTTTGAGCGACCCAAGTAACATTTTAACTAACACAGATAAAATGACTGCCAATGCAATTGAAAAAACAGCTTGCCGGCAGAGTTTGCAGTCAGTAGTGAAGAAAGAAGGAAATCTTAATACAGCTGCTGTGTGCTTTCCCAGCCTCATCTCTAAAACAGCATCATCTCTTTCTTTAGCAAGTATGAATGCCAAATCCAGTTCTGCCAAAGAACTCAAACAAATGGACATTGGTGTTTTCTTTGGGTTAAAACCTAAAGTGACAGAGGAGAGCAAAGGAGAGACTCATTTGAGTGAAGGAAAGCAGATATCAAGTTCAGTAACTCCCAATGGAAAGAGGCCCAGACAGCTAAAAAGGAAAGCTGAAGGGTCTGTGGAAGATGTAGAAGCAGTTACAGAAAGTTCAAGTAAAAATGGAGCCTTGGCAGATGTAAGTTCTGGTGGCCAACGAAGGTGGAGAAAAAAATTTAAAGAATTACCTACTACAGGTGAAGGAACAATAAAAAAACACTGCCCTTTCTACAAGAAAATACCAGGTGAGAGATAACTCTTGCTTTTTGTAGAGGTTAACTAATTTTGGCTTGAGTGTTGTATTTTTTTTCCTAATTTTAGGCTTCAGTATTCTCCACTCTTCATAACCATTTAGACTGCAGCTCATAATGAATTTTTTTTCCTCTAAGTTGATAAAATCTTGTGTAGGTGCAGATCTCCAGAAGAAGGTGATTGCAGAACCAGAGTCAGCAATGGCTTCATCAATGAAGTACAGTGAAATCGTTATCTCGGGAAAATTATTTCAAGGACTGACTTTTGCACATTTTTGACAGAGTAAAAAACATAAGCAGTACTGAAAGATGGATCTACTTTCTTAAATGATTTTGAATATATGCCTTGTTAATATTCACTCCTAATTCCTGAATTTAATCTTTTACATTGCTTCAATTGTGCCTGAAAATAGGGCTGTCAATAGC